TAAACTGTATTCCTTCCACAGCTGTTAATTAGCCTTTAGTCCATAACAATATTAGCTTAAGCGTTACGATCATTATAGTGACATCATTAATTCTATTGGAACAAAAGATCCTTTTAGTTCGAGTATTTCAAAAAAGGCTTGTATCTAATGTATAGTAACTCTTGAATGTATCGCATTCTTTTATTATACATTTTGTAATAAATATTAATTGGATAAAAACAAGATACCTTAAGGGCTTTAAAATCACGATCTTTTGTATATGTTCAGAGCAACTCAAGAGTAAAATCTATAAATTAATTTTCTTTTCAACCACAAACATGTAAAGTAAATATGTACATATGTATGTATGAAAAATTTATTAAAGTTATACCATCCCTAACACTTTCCATAGAACTCTACTGCTTAATGTATAGTTTATAAACGCATATGGAAAACACATGTAATTAAAACACATGCCTATATATAATATAATATAATATAATATAATGTATGAGTAGAAATGATCTTGCAACAGACCGTACCATAAAGTACCTTACCATACGCAAAAGCGGCGAGAACGATACCACTTTTTCCTGTTAAAAACTTGTAATCCATTCAGAATGCAAACTGTGTTAGGTGAGCTCCGATTCCGAAAATTTCTATATACAATCTTTGGAAATGCAGATGTCATGCATAAAAAATCGTAAATGAAACTACAATGAAGTCACAACAACAACAGCAAATAAATGCAAGAAGAAGAAATATCATGAACAACAACAACAACAACAACGAGAACTTGAAATGCTTTACATTAAATTTGCGAAACGAATTCCTAAATCTAACATGCGATACATCAGACACACACACACACACATTTTCGCGCATTATGTGTGTGAGCTTAATTTCAAGTAATTCTTAGGAATAAAATTATATCATTACGAAGATCATAAAAAACACACAACCAAACATATGTATATAATGTATGTATGTGTACATATATGCACTTAACTATCATTTTGCTTTTTGTGCATTGGTACACATGTACACAAAGCAAAGCTTTACATATGTGTAAAAAATAAACTAAATACAATAACAATAAAATAATATTCAAGCAGTGCAAAAAAAATGTAACGGACAGACTTTAAAACGTGTTAGAACAAAAAAGAAAAAAAAACAAAAAATTCAATAATATATAATAAAAGGAAGAAAAGAAGAATTGAATTTAAGGCGCGCCAATAACCATAAAAAAGAGGAGACTAGGTTAGGAGGCAACACAAATCAGCCTTTGCTTTACTCTGCTTTTGTTTTTGCACTGCCTTGTGCAGGCCACCACATTCAAAGCTGCCGTAAACTAAACTTCATTACGATTTGGGCTATCTTAATTTGGGGTATTTGTAAAATGTCTTTTTTTTTTTAATTTTATACTGCATTGTCTTCCATTTTTGCTGTTCATTATTGTTGTTGCTGTTGTTGTATTTGGTTTCTTGTTAATACTTGTTAATAAAATGAAATAAAGCATTTGAAAGCGAAACCCTTTTTTTCATGAACAACAACTTGCTTCGCTTGGTAACAAACAAAAAACTCCACACGAAACACACGAAATCCAACAACAAATCTAGTCCACCACACGATTACAAGGAATGAAGTAAGGCAGCGTTTAGCTTTTATTAAATCAACAACAAAAAATAAAATAACAACAACAAAACATATTAATAAAGCTGCAAAAAGGCTGCATAAATTGTGCACATCTTTTAAAAAAAATACATGCATACATACATACATACATATTATATTTGAGGATCATAACGTCAGCAGAGTCTACTAAAACAAGAGTGTAACAGCCATGTACTCGTATTAAGTTTGCTAACACTAGCAGCAGCGACCGCGACTGCGACAGGGACAGCAACAGTAAACAGTGTGTACACTGTACATACAGCATTGCCAAATTATTAGAGTCAACGTCAAATAACGTCAGTAGGAACGTCGTCGTCAACGTTATCGTTAAAGAGACGCACACAGCGCGCAAAATACTAAACTTTGTCGTGTCAAAAATGCCCTTGGTTTGATCATTATAAAATGTTTGTCTTCTTCTTCTTATGTACTTGTTGTTTTTTTTTATTGTTCCTCTTCTCGTTGTTATTATTGTTGTTGTTGTTGCTGTTGCTAGTATTTTGTTTGTGTAATTTTATTAAAAGCTTTATAAAAAAAACAAAAACAAAAAAATGAAAACATTTAAGTGTTGAATTCATGTTGCTTACAGAAAAGTTTCAATTAATTATGTTGTAGTTGTAGTTGTTGTTGCTATTATTACAGTTGCTATTGTTGTTGTTTTTAATATTTTTTGCAATAAACAAAATTTTGGCAAAGAAAGAAGGGACAAAGCCATAAAATAAAAACACATGTGAATACTATTATTATATCTGTTATTTAACAAGAATTTTTGCATATGAGATAAAATAATATTAGGTAATAAAAAATTTTTGATATTCTGTAGTAAATGAGCAATAAGGGCTTAAGTCGACTTTTGAGAACGCTATAATCAGTCTAAAAAGTTTCTACTTTCGTAAACTGGGGTTGTAGAATCAAATGTCTTATTATTTTATAATTTAATCATATGATATTCTATTAAATATCGTAGAGAATGAATTTATAGATTTGGATTAAGAGCATTGAAGTTATAAAATATGTAGTTAAATTACAGAGACTTCAGTAATTAGAACTAAAGTTAGATATTTTGTGCAATAATTATTCCGAATTATAGACAGGGCATTCCATCTTACGAATGGAGACAAAATTATCTCTCGCTAAGAAGATGATTAAAGTGAATTCTTCCAGCATCTTTTTCGCCATCCAGACAAAGGTTAGGCAACTTCAGAATGTTCTCCGTTATGAAATTTTGTCTATCAGATTTACTGATAGAGTCTTCTTCCAAAGTCTTCTTCCAGGCCCACAGAAGGAGTAATATTTTTTGCTGTGGATTTTAACTATCAAATATTAAGAGTCTGATTTTCGTGAATCTTCTTACTGATCTAGAGAAAGGTCGCGCTATATCAAAAAATCGATATTCAAAAGTTCGCCAAGACAATACAATGACTATTTGTCTGTTTAACGGTCTATTTAAGACTTTATTTTGCAGTTATTGAAGTAATGACAAGCATATAAAGTACATTATCTGCAAAATATTGGAAAATCTTCATCTCTCTGTTTATTTATATTTCCTCAGTTGTAGAGAAAGGCGATTTAAATTTACACTGTTATATTTTTAGAAGGAATAAAGTACCGGAAATTCATGATCAAAACACGGCTAATTAAGACTCATTATCATCCACATAAAATGTTTTTTCTGCGTAAACAAATTAATTTGTTAATATACTTTCAGAAAATATATCTGAAAGTGATCCATTTTCAATATCAACCGGAGATAGGATGTCAAATAGAAACATATGCGTTGAAAACCTGTACTCATTATTTTTATATCTGAAATAGTAATTTAGTCTATTATATAAACCTTAATTGGATACTTAATATGTTTTTGTTTAGAAATAACAGGTTCCGAAGTTACAGTAAACCAAATTTGATTCCTTTAATAATTTTTGAAAATCTATTGGAAGCCTTTCATATATCTTATGAAGTTTTGTAGATTTTTTACGTTACTTATACATCTGTCTCTCTTTTTGCGATAAGTGGAAAGCGTGGACAGCCATAGTGTAAGATTTTGAACCCCTAAAATCATCTCTTAGAGATGAAATAGAGAAAATTAAAAGCCCTTCATATATCTTATGAAGTTTTGTAGTTTTTTTTCGTTTCTTATACATCTGTCTTTCTCTTTGCGGTAGGTGGAAAGCATGGATAATCATAGCGTAAGATTTTGAACCCCTAAAGTGATCTAAAGAGATGAAGAAAATTTTCACCGCTGTTACGAAGCACAGTGTGAGAAACTTAGTACTTAATGTGTGTATCTTATTTTACTATTAATATAATATTTAATGTCTATCTTTCAATGTTTTTGTGCAATCGATTTATGAGCAACTTCGTTCGATAATAATTTACTGATTAGTATACACTCCAGAAAATTTTAACATTTTTAATATTATTTTATTTTTTATAATAGCTTATATACATATTTAGTAAATTATTATATATTATAGATTTGTTCTCTTTATATACAAAACTAACGCAGCTGAATCAAATTGTAGTTTGCAATAAAAATTAGGAAAGTCTGCGTCTTTGCAAAAACCCTCCACGAAGACGAAGCCTTCGCTGAAGACGAAGTACAAGTGGAGAAGAGAACAATACCAAGATACATTTAGTGCCGCATCGTTCTTTCATAGAATTTAGAATTTTAGGTAGGAAAAGGTAGACCTATTACACCGCCAAAAAAAAGCACATAAAACTGGTATAACAAAGCATGTAAAATACTTAAGGTAGCGATGCGGCAGCAATTTAAGATACAACTGAACAAACCTACACTTACAAAGATAAATTTCACAAAAAATAAGTAATATCTGCGTATATACAATATAAATATATACATAAATATAAAATTAATTTTGAGAAGAAAAAAATTTGCGAATTGAAAACATTTTTGGCAATTATGACGCTTGCGTTGTTTACGGATTTTGCACACATATAAAAGGAATAAATATATAATATATAAATATATATAATAACATATAAAGTGGAGGGATTTCTATATTTAAACTAATAAAAATTTATTTTTATTTTAGTAAAAATACTTAAACAAGCTGAAGCTGTTGAACATATTTTACAAATAAAATTTATTGCGCTACATGTGTAAAAAATAAACCAAAAATATATCTCAAAATCTGAGAGAGAAAAAAAGATACTAGAACTAATAAATAAATTGATTTCAAACAAGGACGGAGCTATAATTCAAATGTCAAATAATCATAAAAAAATAGTGAAAAAAATAATTTAATTACATAAAAGTTAACAATATTATAAAAGAACAAAAATATTTAAAAAGCAGACATCACAACGGCGAATTGAGATACAATTTTTATTGAAGTCTTAAAAAAAAATCTATTACCAGACTTTTTATTGTGATCGTTGAAATACCAGGCTTTGGGCCAGGTAACGTTTTACGGTGTCGGATTGTCAAATTCCTTCACTTAAACCGTGTAGACGATATACTTGGTTCCATCTTTTGCTTCGTGGTCAGAAAATTACAACAAATGATTTGATTCCGGCGAAATCATTTTAAAAACACAACACAGGTTCGGAGAGCAACTAGAACAGATTTCTTAACAAATGACAAGGTTTGTTTTTTTTTTATTTAATAATTTTTAATTTAATTACAATTTTACTTTATTATATAAAATTGATATACAATATAAATATATGGGGACATTTGTGAAATAGGACTCTTAAGGTAACACAACAATCTACGTACAGTCCATCATAGACTTGTCCTAAAGCCTAAAGTAACCTTATGTTCATTTTGTGGTATCAAGAGTTAACATGAATGAAATAGTCTTGTGATTTCAACTTCGATAAAACTCTTATATATTATATAATATACATAATACATATTATGTAATATAATATATTATGTACAACTTGCCATTCGGTGTGAAATATATTTATTTGCCGCCCACATTACAGTTTTGGATCCATTCAAAAAAATTTTCTATGGGTTGTCGTCTTGCTATATATCTACTATATATTAGCTTCGCCAAAACGTATTCAATTCATTGAGAGTATGTATGTTGTCTCTGTAAGCACGATCCTTTGCATTACCTTATTATAATTAGTTATCTCTGCAGTGAAAATAACATCTCATCATATATATTATTTTGTATAAGGTAGCCATCATTCTACTTTATTGATGGCTCTAAATTTATCTTAGTAAATACTACAATATGACAATTCGATAATCAAAAGCTAATTAATACAATAAATAGTGTCCAATTATATACTGTGGAAGCCCTTCATGAATGGATTCTGTTAGACCAATAGTGCTTAAATAACATGTATAAGCACATCTTCGAATCTTTATTTAAAGGAACTAAAGGAATCTTTAACATATTGGTGGAAAAATAATCGAATGGGAAGACTTGATCATTCCATTTTAATTCTGAATCACTATATACGGGCATATATATATATATATATATATATATGTATATATATTTCCTACTTTTGAGCTATTTGTGTTAATACGGATCGACCATAATCCATGTTTTTTAATCGCATAGAGTAGTTCCAATTTTACATAGCAGGTAATATAGTTTTGCATCTGTTATCTATCATACATACGTTATAATAATGAAAGCTTAGATATTTGTTTAAATATGGAAGGTTGGAGTGATATTGTCAACATTTATTGTCATGTTACTACTGTATAATTACTGAGTGGTCATAATTTGATGGTTAGATTAAGTCTGATTACAGTTTGATAAACAAGTACCTTAAAAAACTTAGTCTTATGGGCTTTGCTATGAAAACTGCAGCCAGTTTTTAGACTTTTTTATGGATTTAATGTAGTTTCCTTCGTCTAGTCTCTAATGCCTTTGACTATGTAGTTCTTACATACCCTTTGTTATAAAATCAATGAAAATCTTATTGCTTTGTCTGCAGATGAGGTATGAATTCCTTCATTCAGAACATGCTGTAACCAGAGTGATACCGATATACCGTACAAATTACAACTTCCGGCTGAAGGCTCCATTTTTCCTAAATAATTTATTTACATTCCCACCATGATAAAAACAAATAATTAAATAATTATTTTCAAATTTAATGAACGTAAGTTACTGGCTCCTACCAATTAATTGGTGGTACCTACAGATAGTTTATATTACATCCACTTTTACGTTTGCAGTAATTTTTTGTTATTACTTTCTAAATATGTTTTTAATTTTTCCTATGATACGATTTACTGTAATCAGATTTGGAGTAATTTTAATTAAAATAAAATCCTCAGTTTACAACTTTTACCAATTAATTTTGCACTGATTTCGTTTCGAGGCGCGCAAAAGTTTGCATGAAATGCTATTAATCCATTTTAAGACAGTCAGAAAACAGCGGCTTAAGTCTTCACTGTTAAGCCAGTAATTAAGTTGTACTTAAGCCTATAAATGCCAAATGAAATCTGCAATTAATTTTAATTACAAATTTTTTTATTTACGTTAACAGTGCAATATAACGAACAGCAGGACATACACAACTACTTGAGATACTTTAGACAAATTAAGAAAGATATCCGCCTCAACATATAACTGTTAAACAATTTTTTATGCCAATTTATAAACAAATTCATTATCTTTTTTATATGGCAATTTATGTCAATGAACTTTAACCAAAAGCAATTAATTATGCATTTAAGTTAATTAATTACTGCATTAAATTAACTTAAATGCAAGTTGCGGTGCAACTTCGCTTCTAAGCAGCAAATTAAGTACAAGTTTAACTCATTTACTGATTTCACAGCAAAATGAAAACTATTTCAAGGATACATTCAACTAAACTCAGTTTGTGACCAAAAAACTAAATTTAAAATTATTTCATTAATAAAAATAAAACAACATTACGTCATCAATTCTTGCCACGAACTGCAAAAGATACAATACGAATGCGTGCGCAAAGATATTTACACCGAGCAATCAATTTTAACAGGTACAATACAACAACAACAACAACAACAACAACAGATACAGATACATTGATTGTAGATAGATTTGCATTTTTATTTCTTGAGAATTTTGTGAATTTAATCAAAATGCACAGATAGTTTCGTGAGTTCGACGTGAATTCTTGATTTTATGAGACTACTTAACCAATTCAGTTTCACTCTAGTCCGACATCGATAGATATGGCACCCACATTCAAGTCACTTAAAATCCCAAAAAGAAAATATTTGTCAATTGTTGTTAATAAATTTGTTAACTAATTTAATTAATTTGATTTTTGTAAGTTGTTAAATTATTTACTTAACACTCGTTTTTTTTCACTTAAACATGGCTAATTCTTTTGACAGATTTTTGGTGGGTGCTGAAGTAGGCGTTCGATACGATGGATGATGACGGAGCTGATGAGTTACTTTAACGCTTAATAAAATTGAAAAAAAATTAAAAATTACTTTAAACATGCAAGGTGTCTTATAATATGAAAATCCAATAGAATATAATTTTTATTTTAAAATTATTTATTAGGCACTTGATGAAAACTACAGAGAATTTATTCCGCGCATTTATTTGGACGCATTTCTTAAGACTTAATGGAATTTTTCATTTCTAAGACGATTTATATCGTCTTATATGTATCTTAGTGACATAGTTTTCTATAGATAAAGAAGTGGTCATTTGAAAGTATAGTTTAAGGTGTTATGGAATTATTTGTTTTTAAAACGATGTATCTCTTCTAATGGAATAAATATCTGAGTGACATATTTTTCTCTATCAAAAAATTAGATTGTTTAAGTTCTAATAGGATATGGATAATTTGTATCTTATTGACATATTTTTCTGTAGAAAACTAACTTTGTGTTAGTTCTGAAAGTGTTACCGATGGGTTTTAGCACTTTCAAATTTTTATGTGAACATAAGATGTTTTTCAAAAGAAGGTCTTCCAACGAACTAAACGAAATAGTACGCCTGCAAGTGTTTCGTTCATGGAATGTATATTAATTTCTCATGCGCTGAACAAATCAGATGTGAAGATTTTTTCTAATTTTCTGGAGATAATGGCCTGTCAACAAACTAACTCTAAATTTAAAATTTTAATGGGAAAATAAGGTCGCTATTAATCTATGAAGCAGTCTATTCTATTATTCGATTCGATTCTATTATTATCGATTCTATTATTATCGTTTCTATTATTGTATTCTAAAAGAATGCAACTTACGTACAGATGTCTTGACTTCCCTGGCGTAGTCAGGATTATGCTAAGGTGGCTTTCTTTTGGAAGTATAGTATAAAAAAAACTTTTTTGTTTATACTCGTAACAAAAATTTATGAAAACCACAGCGGAACTATATCTCCACGGGGCAACCAATTCACGGCTAATCCCGCTGCCATGTCAGCAGACGCATCGGATGTGAAGTCGCCAAATTCACGTTCGAATATCCAGGTGACTGCAACCGATGAGGCCCTATGCTCCACTTAGGAGAGAAAGACAGCAGTAAATAAGTAAGAATGCTGCTTACAAAAAATAACTGAACAAATAGCAAGTGACGTGTTTGCAAAGTGGTATAAAATCGCTTTTTGGATTAAAGGGTGGCTACCACTATAACGCTCTTATGCCCAGGTTTATCAGATGTTTCAAACATGTTCCTAAGCCAACCTGTTGGTCTACCTCATCTGCTTTGTTTGGCAAGCAAATATCTTTACACAATAAAATATTGAAATAAAGTGCCAAAAATATTCACTTCACTTTAAGTTAGGTTGTACTGATAAATACCACAATGTTAGCAGTTTGCTCACCGGTACCATAGCAATAACAGTAATTACTATTATTATTTTATTATATTCCATACCCCATTAGGAGCTTAAAGATATAACAAATTTCTCTTGTTGTATTGTTATTGATAAGGGTTGTTCTCTTGAAGTTCTTGAAGTTCTTGAAGTTTGGTGGTAGGGCTGCTACCTTTGACGAATATTTATTGGACATGCGGCCTGCAAACTTATCACATTCACCGCTTTAGCTGTAGTCATTTTCTACTACAGCAAGATGTTGCCATGTACTTGTTCGCCAGAGTCTCTTCTGTTGAAATAGGGTGTATCACGCAAAGGTAGAAGGTTGACATTAAAGCCGAAGATGCTGTTTGAGACGCATCAGACTACTTAAACCCTATTAGTAATTACACTCTTAAAGTTAGGACTCTAATTTTTTATATAAGCAAATTTGTTTTATTAATTGATAATTAATTTATATTTCATTATTTTGTGTTAATTGTTTTAATTTAATTTAAAAAAAAAAATTAATAAAGTTTTGTTGCAATTTGTCCCACTGTACGAGCACTACTGTGAACTAAATATCGCATATGTAGCAAATAACATTCGTTATGGCTTGTACTGGAAAAAAAATCTAATAAAAACATGTTTAATTTTTTTTTTTTTTGGTTAATCAAAAATTGGTCAAAACAAATTCTACATTCTGCTTTACATGCGCAGCACAAAAGAAGTAAGTCAAAAAAAAAACATTTGCTAAAGTTGGCAAAAATTGGCATCGCAGCGCTGCTAAGGTAGGGAATAAACAGAAAACAACATTAAAATTCGCACATGGAAAGGTAAAACAAAAAAGAGCCAAGAAAACAAAA